GGGATGACCTTTAAAGATCTCAACCAGCTGGTGAAGAATATCACTCAGTTCAACCCGAACTCCACAGAGGGTCCCGACATCCAGACCTACATCAGAGATATCAACTTCCACCTAGAGGTGAGACCACATATGACTGACAGAGACAGATTCTACCTCCTCAGATCCACATCCAGTCCAGAGGTACGAAGCTTCCTAGACAGACAACCTGCTCATGTCAAGTCAAACTACCAGCTGCTATGTGAGACACTGATTAAAGAATTCACAGGCCCAGAGTCGGAACACGGTGTGTTAATCGCTATGGAAACCAAACAAGGTCGACAAGAGACTCCCCAAGCCTACTACCACCGCTTTCGACAAGCCTACTTAGGTGCACATAACAAACCTGAACTTGAAGAGGATGTGAACTTCAAAACCCTCTTCCTGAGAAACCTGCACCCCGGATTGAGTCATCATCTTGGCATCATGGCCTGCCCAGGCACAATGACAATTCAACAGCTACGTGACCTGACACACAAGGCCTACATCAAACAAAAGATGAACTCAAAGAAAGGTTTGAAAACATCCACAGTTTCAAACTCCATCAGCCAAGACACAAGCCTTGCACTGGAGGACACCCAGTGGCATGACAATACCACAGTCCTTCGTAAGGAGCACAGAGAACGTGACTCCCATGCCGATGGCACCTACCACACTAACCGCATGGAAATGCCATGGGACCAGCCACGCTTCTCAAGTAACCCACAAGAAGGAAACCACTGGAAACCTAACTGGACATCCAAAGGCCATCAACCAAGGCATCCAAAAGCACTCCATGTGGGTACTCAACAACGAAACCCACCTTGGCACCACTCAGTTAAACACAGCACTGAGTATGCCCAAGAACCAGACAGTTTACCCTCAGAAGACATGGAGCAACTAATGAGGCAACTGAAAGTGTTCATCGGAAATGAGGTAGACATGGATGACGAACAGGATGGCGATGGAACGGAAGACCACCGTTTCATCTGATACACCTTCATAACGAACTTGACGACCACTTGTTCTACAACAACACAGAACAAAGTGGCCTCTCACAGTCAACCACTGACAAACATCCAGAGGTACCAGAAAACACCATCCTGGCTACCCATCACTCATAAAGAAACCACCAAACGAGCTCCAAACTCAAGAACCACGTGTGTGCTACAGCAACAACAGTATGCACAGAAGGTCAGAAAGTCTGTCACAACCAGAAGGCATCATCGGAGGAATGCAACAACGGAGACCAAGTTTCGCACTACATCTTCACACATCCGTGCCAAACTACCTCCCAATGTCTGCCAGAGAACTTCCTGCCTTACTGGATTGACCCCCGGCAGATCACAGAAGATCCCTTTTCCAAGGCAAAGATGCAACAAGCTCATCAAAGCTAAGCCATCAAGCAAAAGGGGGGAGCAAAACAGACTGAGACAGATCTGACCATACATACATACATACATGCACTACACGATACCCCTAACATACTCACTTACATACAGAAGTTAACCACCTCTACCGTGCAAAACATTCAACAAATATGTTTTCCCCCACAGTTAGAAACTAACTTTAGAATCTAGCTTAACAACTTAGCTACACTTACCATAGGAAACATGGTAACTACCCATCCAACAAGTACACCTGAGAACACCTCTCATTACATCATGATACCTGACACCTTAGCTGCGCAACCGTAGTTATAAGTCATATCAGGAACACTCAACTGCTGTTTTGTTTTACTTCTTCCTTCCTTTCCTTCTTCTTTTATTAGGTAAAATGCCTGTCCACCCCATAAGGGTCAAGGTCACAATAATAGGATTGACACACCACTCCTATATTTGTAAGTCACCTTAAAACGAATGTGAGCCAAAGAACTCCCTGCATCATTCGTATCACAAATTGAAGGGTAAATTGGTCTAAACCTAGAACAATTTAGAAGAGAATAAAACAAACAAATCAAATTTAGTCACAAAGTTGATCAATCACCGTACCAAAACAAAATAGAATAACGGTCCTAAAATTGAACTAAACTTTATTCAACGTGATTGACTATATTGAGAGAGTGAACCTGTTTAGGCCTAGGTAATCTAATGCCCTGCACCAGTAAAGTGACAAGTCATGGAGGTGTTGTCTTGTTGTTTGCTGTGTGTGTTTGCTTCCTCTACCCGTTTCTCCAGCGTTCACTGATGTCTTCTCCTCAACCCATCATCGAACGAAGGGGGGATATGTAGCAACAACGAGAATGCAACCCACACGAGTGAAGCGTTCGTACATAATCAAACACAAGGGGCTGCATATTCCAAATTATCCCCAGGCTATGAAGCAAGAAGACCTTTTGTTGTTTAACTAAAGGGAGAACGTTGTCAATGTTTTATAATTTGGCAAGAACAGATCTGTTCAGAAATGGTGAAACAAGAGGCCCTAACAAGGAGTCACCTGACCCCTGCGACTAAACAGACTGAACCATTCAGCGTCCCGAGCTAGTTTTCCCCTCATCAATTATTACATCTCCTTAAGGCTGAAAAAGTGGACTTGCATACAAAAATACCCTTTGTCTTGAAGACAACCATTTGCGAAACTAAACCCTCACGTGGTACACACCACGGATGCACAAATGCTGACCATAAGGATACCCACACACACACACACACACACACATAAGGACTTTCCTCCAATTCTCCAATACCAATAAAACTCATCCCAGAACAATTCTTGACTGACCCAGAATCAAAATCATGTAACATAACAATTATATATTGTGTTTACAACCCCTGTATGTGTCTATTCTGCTTAGATCACATCTAAGTCATGTAATTGTTTTAAATATTAGAGATACTGGAATGAAAGTGTCGTGTTTCCTATCATTATGCTCGTATGTGTTTAATTTAATAGATGGCTTGATTGAAATCTGTGTAAAAATGTTTATGTTCTTAAAATGGAAATTATGTCTAAACTGAATCCTATGTTCAAGCTGATGAGTAAGCAGACCACAGATAACACATGATTCGCGATGAGAGAAAGGGGGGGAATAGAAAAGACTCCCTTCTCAAATAACCATATAGTATCTTATTGTCCGAATTCCAAATTCCTCCTGGAGGCGGGACAAACATTTTGAGTTTAAAATCTTAGACCCGAACACAGAACCGCGGTCTCTGGTGATGCTCTTGTGATCCTCTCTTGTGATGCTCTTGCCCTCTGCTCTCTTGTGATGCTCTCTTTCGGCAGAACGAGCCGGGTGGAGCCAACGATGGTTATAGTAACCATGTAGACGCAGAGACAAATGACCCAAATCAAGATATGGGTTAAAACAGATTTAATCCAAGCCATCTCGTCACACTTTTCTTTCTTTTCTTAGTTTGTTTCTTTTCCGTTAAAAGTCTCGGTGCTAAGTTAAGTTTTGCTGCAAAGTTTCGTTTTAACGTTTCAACTGCAAAACCAGCTTTCAACTTCAAAGACTTTCATTCATCCGCGCCAACACACCACGTGACTGGCTGTCCAAGATCTAGCAAGCACGAGGAGACCGCCAGCCAAACAACGGACCCGGGGAACACCTTCACACCGACAAAAGGGAATCCCCAAAAGCAACGCAAGGACAAGCAAGTACCTCCAGACTTTTAGCTGAAACTGCAGGTGCATTTTAATATCAAATTGAATTACCCGCATAAGAAACGATACAAGGGTGAAATTAATTATTGATGGTTCGTTCAGGTCATGTCTTTTAAGTGCATATAGAAACTTGGGATCTCACCATCTAACTCCTAAAACTCATCCTTCCTCACTCTCTGTCTTTCTTCAACTTGTATGAATGCGTGTGCGTGTGTTTGTGTTAGATATTTGTTTTGTGTGTTAGTCATAGGCTTATAATCAATAAAGTATTGTTTGTATTTGAAAAGAGAAGCATTACTTGTGATATGTGCTTACAGATTTATTGTCTTGAACTTCGATCTAAGTTACCTATGCTTTGACCCTTGATTTATTTCTTAATTTAGCTGTTAGCTGGGAATTAGTCTTTCTTGGCCAAGAAGATATTATATTTCCTAGAATTAATAATTGTTTATGCTTTCCGTTCATTGGATGAACTGATAAACTGATCATACTATTGATTTTGCTACAGTAAATTCTGAAAATAATTCAATTATTAATTATTGATCATAATCCGTTATGAATAATAATTAATTATATTTATACGTGCGTACAATCGCTACAGACCCGTGCTGTTAAAATGAGTTTTATATTATTAGTGACGTTCACAGCGCCGTCATGAACATTTTTATAAAGCCTTCTAGCAATGTAAAGCATGTTAACATCACTGCAAAAAGACATCTAATATAAAATCAATATTTATTTACCTAGTATTATAATAGTAAGTTCACTCCCTCGTGTCCCGCATTGTCCCGCAAAATCAGGTCTGCTGTCCTGCAACAGAGCAATAGCCAGGTGGTCACCCTATGGGTAATTTCTGTTTGGTGCTCATTTCTTTTATCTTGTTTTGTTTGGTTGGTAACGCTGTGGACGGTGGAGTGTGGGACAGACTCGAGTTCGATTGGGGAAATAAAGCGCGAGTTGTTGTGAGACTCCAATCGCCACCGTGAGTTTGTCTGGCCTAATAACCTCAGCTGTGAGCTATCCCTATTTTCTTACACACACACACACACACTTAACATGCGGGTTTACCTTATATCCATTACATTTGCACTCAAGGAAATGTGTTAATTACTTAAGTCACTCAATTAGCACAAGTTTGTTTTTTCTTTGTAACATCAATTCTACACTCAATGCAAGACGCAATGAATGACAATAATTGTGCATCACCACTTAACAGCCAAATTCCATGATCACTGAATTTACACTTTGAGCTTGATATGAAGGCCAAAGTGTAAATTCAGCAATCATTGAATTGTTTCTAAACGACGATTTGCACCTGGATAATCTCGAGTGATTGTAAGTGTGATGATCATCTGCTAAATAAGCAAAAACGACCACAATTCACTCCTTCAGTCAGTGAAGCTCCCACAGCCGTTCATGAGAGTTTAAATGCTGGGGAATATTCCCATCTTCTCACAGGAGAAGAAGAAGCAAGCAGGAGGAATTACTCCAGGAGAAACTACGGACATACTATTGTAAAGATGGAGATTAAGGAAGAACCCTGCAGAATAAAAGATGAAGATACAGAGGAACAAATAGGTTGGTGTTTTCCTTCATTCTCTTTAATGACTGATGAGGAACATTAAGATGAAAACTGACATATGACAATAACATATAAAACTAGATACTAGTAGACTCAGGAGTAAACTGGATTTGTGCCAAATTGAGATTTGGAATAATGCTTATTTTTGTTTCTCATGTATCCTTTTATTTAATTATGGGAATTTGTTTATTTTAGACCTGATGGAAGTGAATGAAGACAAACAGCATCAGTTTCAAAAACCTCATTATTTCACAAATGAAGATGGAAATGCAGTCGTTTCAAAGACTGAAGAGAATTTCCCACAGAAACAAGCTGGAAAATCTGGAGTCGAAGGATCTTTAACCTGTTCTGAGTGTGGAAAGAGTTTCCTATATAAATCAACCCTGAACAGACACATGATGATTCACACTGGAGAAAGGCCTTATACATGCACTCAGTGTGGAAAGAGTTTCATAGTTAAAACAAACCTTAACCAACACATGAAAATTCACACTGGAGAAAAACCATTCACATGCTCTCAGTGTGGAATGAGTTTCAGTTACAAAAGCGTTCTCAAAGATCATATGCGCCGTCACTCTGGAGTGAGATCATTCAGCTGTGATCAGTGTGATAAAACATTTGTTTTTGAATCCGGCTTAAGAAAACACCTTAATGTTCATGCTGCTGTGAAGCCTCATGTTTGCATACCTGCCAACTTTTGAGTTTTGCTCGGCGTGAGATTTGTTGACGGGGGGGGGGGGGGGGGGGGGGGGGCGAGTGTGATTTGTTGACGGGGGGGGGGGGGGTGGCGAGTGAGATTTGTTGACGGGGGGGGGACGAGTGAGATTTGTTGACGGGTGGGGGGGGGGTTGGGGGGGGGGGGGCTCGCTCGCGCAAGGTCTCTCGCTCGCGCAAGGTCTCTCGCTCGCTCTACGCGGTTTGGAGCACAATCTCTGTCTCGCATGCACGCTCGCTCTAGATAACGGGAGATTTTTAACGAATTTGCGGTATAACTAGTCGATCACGCGTGGCTCAACAGGTAGATATATAGATAAACTCATCTTCCAGGCATTTGACCGCCCGGGTTGACACTTCAGCGTGAGAAATCGGGAGTGTGGCGTGTGAGCGTGTGAAACCAATCAAATGCGGGTGTCTCACGGCCAATGCGTGAGAGTTGGCAGCTATGTGTTTGTTCTGTATGTGGAAAGAGTTTTTCACATCTTGGATCTTTAAAAGTGCATGTGCGTATTCATACTGGTGTGAGACCTTATGTGTGCTTTGACTGTGGAAAGACCTGCACTTCATCCTGCAACTTAAAATCACACCAGAGTGCATTGAGAACATATTGAACTTTATTGCTTATTTTATTTACATATTGTACACTTTATTGGATTGAATCACTCTCTGCACATTGTGAAAATGTGAGAATTAAAAATGATTAAAGCTTGTGCTTTATTTAGGTATAATGAATAGATTTAATTTAGTTTTCATTAAATCAAGTGCATGGTTTAACATTGTATTCAGCATTGCTAATGAACCAGTATAGTAAACACTAATTATTTTTGGGAAAAAAAATTCTATGTATATTTAAAGAGGCGATTCCTCTCATAAGATGGACTCTGAAAAACACATCACTGAGAGAAGATGAAATAGATACTTGTTTTACAGCTGCTATCTATGAAATAAGGTCATTTACATTAGCTATATGGTTATGTTACATTTTGACAAACAATTTTGTCCAAAAAAGTCATGAAAATTAACTTTTTTTTAGCAGATTTTGTGTACTAGTCGAATCATGATTCATGAAACAGTTTAACTGAATTAATTTGCTATGTTTATCAGACTAATTTTATTGGGAGAAATCTATATCAGGGGCCGAATGTATAAAGCCGCTAAGAGTAACATTTTAGTCTTTAGTCTGTCAAAATTCTTAGAATTACATAATTCTAATAATAATAAATAAATAATAATAATAATATATTTTATTTGTATTGCACTTTACATTTTAGCAATCTCAAAGTGCTACAGACCATATAGTAATATACAGTAATTAAAAACTCAAAATCAATAATAAGTTTAAAGGAGTGGGGAGTGGGGGGTGGGAGTCCCTATAAAATACATTTATTTAAAAGCTTTTTTTAAAAGATACGTTTTTAGGTTTTGTTTAAAAACATCTGTAGTCTGTGGGGCCCTCAGGTGATCAGGGAGGGCATTCCACAGCCTCGGAGCAGCCGATGAAAAGGCCCTACCACCCATGCTACAGAGCTTGGTTCTGGGGACATAAAGGGTGTTTGTGACCGGAGAGTGCGTGAGGAGCTCTGGTGTTGGAGGAGTTCCTGTAGGTAAAGGGGGGCATGTCCATGAATGCACTGGTGGGTGAGGAGGGAAACCTTATATTCAATTCTGAGTGGGACAGGGAGGCAGTGAAGAGATTTTAGGATGGGCGTGATGTGATCATGCTTGCGCACCCTTCTACTCTTATTCCTAAACTTAACGAAGATATGTTTAATGAAATCTAAGACAGTTCTGTCCCTCCATCGACAGCCTATTCAACTACCACTTCCAAAGCTATGGAAAGGTATAAAGGAAATCAAAAGTAATCCATGTGACTCTAGTGGTTTTTTTATGACAATTTTAACTCCACTTTATTTACAAAATATTAATCTTCGATGCACGTTCATGCACCAACATCTGCTCTCATGTCAACAACATGCACAAGTTGTAATCATGAGAGCATGTTGGAAATTAATATTTTATACATTTTTTATTTATTTATTTTGCTACAAACACAGCACTTGCGTTGTTTAACCAAATTGATGTTAAACCACTGGAGTCGCATGGAGTACTTTAATGATGTACCTTTATACCTTTCTGGGGCTTGAAAGTGGTAATTGCGTAGACTGTCAATGGAGGGACAGAAAGCTCTCAGATTTCATTAAATATCTTCATTTGTGTTGTGAAGATGAAAAATTCGTACATGTTTGGAACGACATGAGGGTGAGTAATTAATGACAGAATTTTCATTTTGGGTGAACTAACCCTTTAAGAATAAATTAAGACAGGCCCCTTGAGAAATCTCACTAAATAGTCGGAAGAATCTGTGTTCCCTTCTTGTGGCTGTGATGTTGGACAGGTGATGGGTAGAGATTTCCCAATCAGTGGAGTCTAAAATTAAACAGCAAGAAAACATCTACCTGTCAAATCATTAAAACAATTGGTTTGAAAACTCATTTTAAGTAAAAAAAAAAAAGTTTTTTTTAAAATTACTTTTGTAAAGTAATTTGACTGGACAAATTCAAAATGAGTGTTACGAAACACAGAAAATCTAGTTATAACAAATCGCAACAAAGCTATGTTTATTTTTTTATGTTTGTGCCAATGACTCTCTCATATGTTATCTGTTAAATCTTATACCATCACCAGGTTCTAGTCTGTAACGTTACAGTCTTTAAACACCAAGCCTGGTTAGCCTTAGCCACTCGGTGCATCATAGAAATGCTCCTAGCAAACACAAATAGCTAAATCAATACATTTAAACATGAAAGCATAACCACCAAACATCAACCAAAAGTTAATCTGATAAGTAAATTTTGCATAAATATTTAATCTGAAAGAATTAGTTACCCATTCTAAGAAAATTGGTCCTCCAAATAAGGAAATAAAGTGACACTTTCACGTGCATTGTTGGTCTGCAGTTTGTGGAGTTGTTTTTCAGTTATACGTTAGGTGTGCTGGTAAACGAGAGTAAAAGATAGTTTGAGGATAAATACATACTTTTAATATTTGCACATCACAAATATTGTCTTAAAACAATATAAAACACGTATTTTAATGAGTTAAAACACTTACTATATGTTTTTACTGTTAAAAGCAAAATCCGTGTCAGCACTGCGTCACGAGTCAAAGAAGATGCAGGCCTAGTCTGTGAGAAAGTTCTCTTACGAGAGGATCTCTCGTACTGGGTAATATCTTACGCTATGGGGAAAACCTCTTTTCCTCGAGATATTGAAGCAAAATATTATCCTTAATTTTTAATCCATGCAAAACGCTTTGCGGCAGCAAGCAGACATAGGCGAGGCGGCTCGCGCGCCTATTGGCTGCTCTGTGGCAAAAGCAGCAGCCTATCGAGAGCGGCTCTGCGTGACGTCTTGACCAATGGGGGCACTTCGCGCCCATTTCGTCACGTCCTGCCAGAAAGGGCGTGGTCTCGCCCTATAAATATAGCTTGATAAGGCTGGTACACTGGTTTTCATCTCTTCAGTGAAGCCTCACGCATCGCTGGATCCGGAGTGAGAAGCCGCGCCGTCGACGCAAGCCTTCAGCGGGACGAGCCCTCGAGTCTGGAGTCGCTGGCCTTCACCTAGCCGCCTTCAGCCGCCGTACCTGCTGCGCTTTCCGGCGCCCATATCCTTTACTCTGCTGAGAGTGTTTGTTCGCCGTTGCAACTCACACTTCTCCTAACTCTAAAAGAGCAAGCGTCTTTTTAAAGATGCCTTCCTGTGGCTCGTGCCGAGCCCAAATCAGCGACGGGGACCGCCATGTCATCTGCGTTTCCTGCCTGGGTGAAGATCACGCGGCTCTCGCGCTCGCCGACGGCGGATGCCCTCATTGCGAGCTGCTGCCTATGGTGACTCTGAGGACTCGCCTGGCATCATTCTCAGAGCCTGCACTTCTGCCCGCTGTGGTACCGCGCCGCAAAAAGCGCCGTGCTCAGCGCGCACCCGAGCTCTCTCCTGCCCGCCAAAGCTCGCCGGTTCGCCCGCCAGCTTCGCCGGCATCGCTCGAGTCGCTCACGGATGGACAACGGCCGCCGTCTGCCGCCGCGTCCGCCATTGAGCTTAACGAACCTACTGAGGCATGTTCTCTCCTGGCTGCTGGATAAGGGCAGAACCCCATCCACGCTCAAAGTATACGTGGCGGCCATAGCAACGTTTGCAAAACCGGCGCCTGGCCAGCCACTGGGGAAGAACGACCTAGTCGTGCGTTTCCTCAGGGGAGCTCGGAGATTGAACCCTCCCAGGCCCCCTTCAGTCCCGATGTGGGACCTTTCCACGGTGTTGGAAGCCATGAAAGGTGCCCCATTCGAGCCAATCCATTTGTCAGACATGAAACATCTGTCTTTCAAAACGGTGTTTCTCATGGCTCTCGCTTCAGTGAAGCGCGTAGGGGACTTACAAGTGCTCTCGGTAAGCGCGTCATGTATGGAGTTTGGGCCTAATGACTCAAAGGTCATACTCAAACCTAGGCACGGGTACGTGCCGAAATCCCTCAACACACCGTTCAGGGCCCAGGTGATTTCCCTGTCCGCCCTTCCGGTTCTCAATGAGGAGAAGGACGCGAGTCTCCTTTGCCCCGTCAGGGCACTAAGAGCTTATGTGTCCCGCTCGTCTGGTTTTAGATAGACTGAGCAGGTTTCGTTTTGTTTGGCGGACGTTCTAAGGGACTTGCCGCATCAAAACAGAGCCTATCCAGATGGATAGTTGATGCCATAGCGCTGGCTTACACCTCTAAGGGCCTGCAGTGTCCCTTGGGTGTCAGAGCGCACTCCACGAGAGGCGTGGCCTCTTCGTGGGCATGGTCTAGCGGGATTACCCTGCAAGATATTGGTACGGCTGCGGGCTGGGCCTCGCCGTCTACATTTATAAAATACTATAACCTGGAGGTCCCCGCCTTACAAGCTAAGCTTTTGGCGGTCTAGAATTCAGTGCGATCTGCCCCGCTG